TGACTGAGCTTGGAAAATAATTTTAAGTTAAAATTTCAGGTGACTGTTGGCACCTTTGGTAGAAATAGTGTTAAACAAGTCTTTGTACAAGATTCAGCCAGTCATTCGAAGAATTTGAAAATATTTGACAATTTCAATGAGACCAAGCCATCTCACCCGGAATTACCCTAAGTTCGGTGATTAATCATTATTCAGGATTCGTCTTTTTCCAGGTTATATTGAAAAGTATAGCAAGATTGCCGTTTTCCTTAACCGTCTTTGAAAATAGGCTGTACTGGAGCGACATGTCATCGAGAACTATAGAATCGTGCGACAAATTTACTGGCAAAGACCGGAAAATTTTAGTAAATGCGAATAATACTGTTTATGGGCTGCATATTTATCACTCCGTGCTGAAGCCCAGGGTAAGTTCATCCTTCTTCGTTTGTGCAATTGTTTTATAGTGGATATTATTTCTGATAATTTAACATCTCCTACTGACGACCGACAGCTTCGAAATCCGTGCAACTCGGATCCCTGTTCCCAACTGTGTCTACTAAATTCAGAGAATGGATACACGTGTGCTTGTGCGTTGGACAAACAACTGAATTCAGATCAGCATACCTGTCGGGGTAGGTGTTCACGGGAATTGAATGTTTTGAATGTTTGAAACGCCATTGGGTTACGATTTGGGTCGACTTCAATTGATGCAATTATGCGAATTAATATTATAATTCTCCGTCCTTGGAACAGTAATTTCCGCGGTCTATATGAACAAACGCGCAGTCTTCTGTGAACGATAGAATAAAATGTAGGATGAATTTTGGTAAATCCAGTGTCAATCCTTCGCACTCCGAATTTCTGTTGCATGTTTTCCTCGAGAACTCTGTATTATTACGAGATTTTCTTTAAAATGCATTTTAACACTTAGGCAACCGCCTAAAGAGAATTGTAACTACAACCTCTTTCATTAGTTTCGATTGAACTCATTCGACTGATTTGTTTAAAACTTTGTTTTGTAAAAACAAGAAACATATTTGATGAATTGCAAAGAATTCTTACTAATAATATTGAAAGTAACATAATAATAAAATCTATTTGAAAAATATCTTGACAAAGAGTCACACCTGTGAATAAAACTGATGTCGAGTCATGCTCGACATAGGAGCGCAAAGGGTTAAGCTGATTAGAAAAGTTTCAAAATATTACACGAACCACGTGTACAGTGGATCCTAACGATGGACGAACATTTTAGCTATAAAGAAACGGATGCACCTAATTATCGCAGCTGGAAGCACGTTCATAAATTACTACCACGAACTTCTGGGGAATCCTACAATGACAGCGATCGTCACGTTGAAACACATTACTGCGGTCGCTTACAACCCCTTAACTGGTAAGTGTGAATTATATAATACGTAGATTATCCGTTTGAGTCCCACAGGTTTTTGCAAAATCATCGCGAGTCTCACTCGTCATTGTATGGAAAGGGGTTAAGAAGCGGTCCATTTCAAGAAAATCTGTTCTTAACCCTTGACGGTAGAAAGTTTGAAATGTTACAAATATTCGAAACACGCGTCAGACTTTAGTTCATTATTTGTTTTTATAATTCATGCTTCACGCTCCATAAAAATATTTTAATATACTCTACAATGCAGGAAATTTCGGGATACTACAATATATTTTCTTTTTGTTAGGTATTTATGATATTTCTGATGTAAGAGTTTTTTTTCTTACAATGGCCATTTTTCTGTTTCTAAGTGGGCCATTCCTCTCTGACTCATCGCTACTACTGACATTATTAATTAAAAAATTGATACAGGTGGCCTGTTTGTGAACGACCAATTGTCGGATACAATTTTCCATCTCAATACTACTAACGGAGAGTTGGAGTCCCTGATATCCTTCGAGAACAAAGTAATAGGAGGAATAGATTTCGATTACATTGGCAATAATTTGTATCTGTCCGATGTAAACCACAAAACAATCGAAGTTCACAGCTTAAGTACAAAGGAGAA